ATTTCTTTCTTTATTGGGCAAATTAAATAGAAATTTAATTATATTTCAATAATAAAGGAAATTTAGATAAGGAGATAAGAAATTATATAATATTCATATATAGTAAGAAATTTTTAAAAAAGAATCATATTTAAGAAAAAGAATTGAGAGTATATATCTTAATCTTATTAATAGAAAAAATATTTTTATTTGATTATATTTTAAAATCTCGATATTGGAGGAAGATAAATCTAAAAATATATTTTCCTTAATATATTCTTTGAAATTATTCATTTTTTCGAAGCAGAGAAATTATAAATATTTTCACAATATATTATAAAAAAAATAAATATTTTCAAATATTGACGAGAATGTTCTCATATATTGAAGATGCTACTCCGTGACCACAAAAGCGACCGAGTCGTATCTTGAGCCTGCTCCTTGCAAATTTTTTATAGGTTGGGCTTGATTCAGATTGATAAGGAATGGGGCCGGTTGTTTGCTTGCTTCCACCCAATATCTGAAGGTTGTTATTGCCCATGGTGCGGACCAGAAAAATCATCAAATCATTAGGCTTATTTTTATATTGATAAAAGAAAAATTGAGAATTATTTTTTATTTTCTATTTTATCAAGCTAAAAGATTATATATAAATAAATTGATATTATAATATATCGTAAAAGAAAATGATATTTCAGAATCATGAAATAAGGATGAACAAGAATTTATTAATTTCTTATTAATTTTAGCATTCAATTGAATAAAATAGAAAGATTGAAATTCTAATAATGAGGCAAAGAATTTAAATTGAAATTTTATAATCATGATAATTATTTAATATCGTAATATGATAAAAAATTATATATATATCAATCTATAAATAATATAGAAGTAAAATTAAGAATCTGCTTCAAAATAATTTCATATGATATATAGGAACGATCCGATAGGATGATTTGATCATGAAAATTTATATAATCTATTCATTAGATATATTAGAAATATTGATTTATAGATTCTTGATTTCCTTATCAATATTAGAATATCTTCCCTAATAAAAATAATTCTAAATAGAAGTATTCGATATTTCATAGGATTTGATTATATTTTAATCAATTATATTAAAAAAATTAAAAGAAATTTTAATATATTATGAAATTTTAATTTCAAGATAAATTTGAATATTAATTATATTCATTTTTTGAATAAAATTTTCTTTAAGAAAAATATCGAATAGAAATATTCGTTATCTTCCAATCAATTTTTTCCATATTCTAAAAATAGAATTTAATCTCAAATTAATTCTTATTCTTAGAATTTTGTCACTATTCTGAATACTTTATGAATCTCTAAATAATCGATTTCTTCGGTTCCAATCGTAGGCTAGAGTCCGATCTTTATATATTAGAAAATAAAAAAAATAAGAAAATAAATAATTAAATAATTATATAAATAAAAAAGAATTCAAAGCAGTAGTCGAATATATAGATATATTCAAATAAATAGAAATAATTATATTCAAATCTATTTAAGTCATCAAATCCAGGCAAATATAATCTGATAAAATTCAATAAGAATAAATAAACCAAGATAAAGATGATAGATAAATAAAGAATAAAAGAGATAGAGAGATAGAGAGAGAGATAATAAGAATCAGAAAAATTCAAAAAATGAGAGAGAGATAGATAAATAGAGAAAGAGATAGAAGGAACGATAGAGGGAGAGATATAGAATCAGAGAAAGAGATAATATTTTGATAAATATAAATAAATAGGACTATAAATAGAAATATAATGAAAATAAAATATAATATGATATAGATAAAAATATAGATAGATCTAGAAATATTGATAAAGATAGAATCAAATAAAGAAAGATATCTAAAGAGATATATAGAGAGGTCCGCAGATAGATATATAAAGAAATAGCTAGATAGATCTCTAGAGATATAGATAAATAATCAAATAATTAAATATATAGAAAGATATTAATAGAGATCTATAGAGAGATATATAGAAAGATATTCAGAAAGTCATATAGAATTATAAAGAATCATAAAAAAAGATATATAGATATAGAGATAAATATATAGATAAATATTCAAATAGAAGATCAGAGAGATCTAAATTTTTTTATATAGATTTATATTCAGATATGCATATATCTAGAAAGGTATCTACCTCTAGAATATATAGTACTAAATTTCGAGAAACTAAAATTTTAATTTCGCGAGAAAATATCTAAGATACTTTCTAGAAGAAATATATCAAATAATTATAGAATCTATTGGGGAACGGAGGATATGAGGAGATAAAATTCTCTCCCTCCAAAATCAACTCTTAATCTCAAATCTATGCCGCTTCCTAAAACCACAGCGCTTATCCCCAATTTACCTAAAATTCATCCCATTATATCCCGAATTTATCCCGACATATCCCAGACCTTTATTTTACCTTTACTCAATCTTCCCCGACCTTCTCGACCTATCAAATAATATAAAAGCTTCCTAGACCTTTCGAAAATTTCATTCTAAATTGATCGACTTCCTCAAATCCCATTATTAAATTTAAGAACGAATATTATCTTTCAGGAATTAAATTAATTATATTTCTCCCATCTTTCTAATTCGTATATAATTCCCTCCATAAAATAACGAGATTAGGGATTTTTAAAAATACAGATAAAGAATCAGAATTATCCAAATCGACTTCATTCTATTTGATAATAACCAAATATAGAAAATCTATATTCCATACCTTGCATCGAAAATCTAGATATCCTGCGATATTATTATTATAAAATAAAATGAATATAATATAAATAAGAATAATGAATAATATATTCATTTATGGATAATAAATTTTTTAATTTCTACATATTTTATAAAAATAAAAATATTTATAAATATATCTTCTTTCTCATAAAATATTTTACAAATATTTATTCAAATAAAATTAAAAAGAATCTTTTAAAATATTTTGGCATATTTCGACTCTCACACTCGCACGCAACAGGCAAGGCTCCACACACGTCCGTCACACGAGCAGCCGCTCATGACACGTGCACCACTCGGCTCCACGAGATATGACTGCCAGATTCGACAGCCACGAATCGGCCAACAGAGCTGCCCGTATAGGACGAGTATTCTTTTACAATAAGAATCCAATTTCATATCTTAGAATATCTCGTGAATTCTAGTATCGAATAGGAAATATTGAAGTAGTTTAATCAATATTTCGATTTATCATGTAATTGCAATTCTATTTTTTAGAATTCCTATTCAAATATATATAAGCAATGATTATGATGTTCTTCTGCTAGCGGTTTCAGAAATTCGGCATATCCACAAAAAATTGAGCATCTATTCCGCGCAGAGTAGTGATCAAAAATAGATTGCAGCCTGCGTTGAAAAGAGGCTAAGGTGATGCTTTCGCTTCCTGCACTGCTAGCTGCTAGGACAGGCGTGCCTGACATGATAATCAATCTGATCGACCGCCAATCTTCAACCAAGTTCGCCCAATGCTCAAACCTGTGCAAAAAAAATCACGCAATGTACAGGCGTAGGGCGCAGGACTGTTTTGGATGACCACATGATCAGTCAGTCATGGGGTCATGGTCATTATCCAGGTATGGCTCAAACCATAGACTGCAGCGGCTTCGCGAGCCTTGGAGCTCGAATGCTGGCTTCAATGGCATTCAGAGGGCCTCTGCTTATGGGCTGGGGCTGCTGCATGGCCTCTATTTGCTGCATGCCTTCCGCCACGTGCTCGCCTTCAACATGGCAAGTGCATCTAAGACAACAGCTACCGCTTTTTCAAGAAGTGCGCCTTGGACTGTAATGTCCCGGTGCCACTTGCTCAGCTCCTCTGGAGAAACTCGCCCGTCGTGGTTCCTTAAGACAAACTTGGTTTGGAGGCAGAGTGTCCAGGTCATCACTGCATACAAGTAACGCATCGAGCAGACTGAAGGTGTCATGCCGCTTCCAGTTGTTTAGCTCGTCTGGACCTGCATAACGCACAAACACAGCATTGCCAAAGATTTCTTGGCCACTGGTTCCACTCTTATTTGCGTGAGGTCATGCAATTGGAGGCATTGGCAAGAAGATGTGCACATGGGGAAGGCCCTCCAGCGAAGTGCCATGGCAGGAGCTGAATGAATGAAGCGAGTGCATCGTGTGGGGGAGCTACAGTAGTTGTTTTCAGGTTTGGCTTCTGCGTAAGTTTCCGGCTGATCTTGCCGTCGTGGTTGATGTCCATCCTTATTTCATGATATGTGCCGCACACAGACATCCTCGAGCCTTCTCCACACGACAAACCTTGCACCGGCCATCACAGCCCCGAGTGCCAGGCGCATCAAACTTGCCGAGTGTGTTGCTCGCACGAGACAGACCTGGGCGCGATGACTTTGACGGCGCTGCCATTGGCATGAAAAGGCTCCAGGACTCCAGGTCCCTCTGGATGGCTGATTCAACAGCCCACTGCTAAAGACCATCGCATTATGCCGCAATTTTGCCTCCAAGTGGCTGAGAACAGATACCTGCTTCGATGCCACGACATTCGCGAACTCGGGGTTCCACTTCTGAAACTCCTTCATGGAGATCTTGCCGTCTCCATTCCGCTCTAGCCTAGCAGCGACATGTGGACAAGTCGGAAAGCTAGTCAGTCCTTCGAAGTAAACACAAGTCGAACGCAAACGAATATGGAATTGAAAACAACTACAAGCACACTGTGCCAACGTTGACCCCAAACAGCGGAGGAGCGCCTAACAGCCCAAGCCTCACGTACCCAAGCACGATGCCCAAAACGCGCACTGAACTGCGTGCAGCACCATTGGCAGAACGCGCGTCGCACGGTGCCGGGAAGGCAACTCACAACCCAAAATGTGCGCACTGTGGCAGAAGCAGGGTTTGGGCACCCGTACATTGCCTGGACTGTGGCGCGAGGAATGCGAGGAGCACAATTGCGAACTTCGGGAAAGTGCTCAGCCCCCTTAGAGCGGCGGGATTGCGAGACCTCCGAGCATGAAGAAGGCCGAAATGGGCGCAGGAAGGTGGCGGGAGCACGCTGCCAAAGCCAAAATACGCACGGCAGTGTGGTGGGAGCGTGATTCATCAAGTACAGAATAGTACAGAGCATTTGGTTTTTGGAAGAACGCATTGGCAGCCACAGAGCATACTGAAATCGTCCACGGGCTTCCAGTTCGTCAGCTCATCAGCGCTGAGTCTTCCATCGCCATTTGCATCCAGACGGCCTCAGCCACTGCAGGGCAGGGTGGTTCGTCTCTGGCCATCCCGGACTCCAAAACACCGTATCGTGAATAGAGAACCCTGGTTCACTACAGTACGACTCCCTATCACATCTGATCATGGGATATACTGATATCGGATCTTATTCTCGCGAACTTACGAATAGATTTCATGCAGTTGGGGGTGGAACTCGCCAGGCAAGTTCGCAATTGAAGCTGCTGGACAAGGGCCGCATGCCTCAATCCGTCCTGTCACACACCAAAGCTGGCACGACCTGCACCGAGAATCGGCAAACGACTCCCACCCTCCGTCACCTTCGCCCAAAACGGACAAGTAGCCGCCTGAAAATAAAGATGTTCCGCATGTTTTTAGAACGGCGGACGCGTATTCGGGGGGATTAATGCTTGAGACAACTACGGTCGTTCGTTCATTCAAGGGTTCAAACTCTGACCGCCGATTCCTTTCCCTTGCTCTCTCTGTGCCGTGCCATCCGACGATTGGCTCCTTTGTGCAAGCTGACTGTCTCGACTTCTGGTCTGAATTAGGAGGGACATGCGCCAAGGAGGCCCGAGGAAGCCAGAAGAAGTCTGGCCCCGGAAATCGAAGCTTCGATCGTGGTGGCTCGATCGTCGCTTGTTCGCGAAAGGACTCACGGTTTCTGAACCACAGGTTCGTGCTCATCACTAGTGGGCTGTTACAGGGTGAGCTGCGAAACGATGCAGTCCAAACATGGCATGGCGAAACAATCCATCGAGCTTGCTGCTGCAACACTCCATCCGAGGCAGTTTCTTAACCGTGCCGTTGCATAGAGCTGCTGAATACAAAAATGCTGTTGCCAAACAAGTCGGAGTGCTGAAGTCGTCCGGACTCTTGGCAGATTCTCGTATCCTGACAAATGAGGGCACTTGAGATGGGGAGGGGCAATGCGGAGCTTGATCTTGACTTTCCATACGATCAATTGTGGCCATACCGTCCTCTTGTCCAGGGCCAACTCTTCGCCTAAGTTTCGCACGGCGGAACAGTCCCGCCGTTCGGGCGGCATTGGCTAGTGGCAGCCAACACAGGGCATCTCACAAAAGTTAAGTCTGCGATAGCCGTCTGCTTGCCGCCCAGCGGCTGATCTCTCTGACGCTGGCGATCGCGGCACCTTCCGCCACAGCGGTGGCTGCCGTAGTGGCTGCGATCTCCTTGGCCTGTTCTTCCGGAAGCCCTGCTTCCTTTGCCGCCTGCACCTCAGTCCGTCATTTGAATTCCTCGAGACGTGCCTGCAGCCTGCTGCCTCTACTCTAGCTAGCATCTTTCGGGGCTCCTTCTTGTCAAGACGCCGTGGCTTCTGCAGCCACCACAGCAACTTTTGTCTCCTCGAGTCCACGTACTGCAGCCGCTCTCCCAGCAGCGGACCCCGCTGCGACAGCAGCAAGATTGGCCGCCTGGATGGCAGATGCAAGAACGTAAGAGATGACTTCGACGGCAGGGATGACATGATGTGGCGATGCTGTTGATGTGAGGTTGTCTCCTTGGTTGCATAGCATGAGGTTGGGGTTGCCTTTTCGTTGTCGTGAGGTTGCCCCTAATCTCAAAATATATGTTGATATGTTTTAACGCACAGGGCTGGCGCCGTGGCGATTTGTCCTCGAATTTGGCAATCCCTCTCAGTGGACCCGGCACGTCCACATCCTCCCGGCATAGCGAACCATGGAATGCCAACGCATTGGCCTGACGTTGCTCTCCGTGATCCCGGCGTGGCCGCGTACTCCGGTGAGAGCGACCCATCGCGTATTCCAATACATTGGTCTCATGTAGGTCTCCCAATGACAACCCGATCGATGGGTGCGGTGTCTCTGCATCCTCTGGTAAGCGCGACAGTGCCTCCAGTACATGGGGGCAGCTTGTGGGTCGCGCAACATCGAGCCTTGCTTTGCACGTGATTCGCGCTCTGAATGGTGCCAGTACATGGGGAAGCATTTTGGCCGTGCTCTTAAATGCCAGAACAGGCAGGTAATCTATTTTGGTCGTGGGAAATCGTGCTGAGATTGCGGTGCCGTCACAATTGGTTCTGAATTGACGACCCCTGGATGATGCCGGCATATCCAGGTAAGCCGGCAAGAGCGATCCATTGTGGGTCTGTAACAACCCTCTTGATGAACGCGGCAGGTTCGAGCTGTGCGCAGTGTCGCACAGCCAGTCTAGCCTCGAAATCTTGGGATCACGCCAGTACATGGGCGGAAGCTCTGCAGTCGCTCCTCAATTTCGCCAATGCATGAACGGGGAGCATGACAAGGGGTTTACTGCCTACAATTAAGAAGGAAAAACTCGGTTCTGCATAGTTTGTAGATGGGGTTTATAGAACAGCATCGGGAAAGGTCTACAGAAGGTTTTAAAGAGAAGCTTATGGGGAAGTCTATAAGAGGGCTGTAGGCGCCTAGGGGCGGTTCTTTAGCCGGTCTATGGAAGTTTCTACAGTAGGAGGGCTTTAATCCTTTAGCGATTAGTAGGGTTGAGGAAACAGAAGGGTTTGTGAAAGGGTTTATACAATAGTCTAGGGGTTGCGTGGATGGGTGGGTGGATGGCTGGATGCATGAATGGATGGCAGGGATGGATGAGCGGATGGGTAGTTGGACAAATGGATGAATGAGCGCATGGATGAAATGATGTTTGGTGTCACCCTCGCCGCTCCAAAGGCTTTCGAGACACCAGCTCTCTATATGTTTACTAAACACACCCTGCATCTGCTGGCCACGGCTGTTTACCGGGATCTCGTCCTGGCCTTCGGAGGTGGCAGATCCAGGGCGAGTGCAACCTTTTTCGTGGCTTTCGCGGCTGCCCGCTCCACCTGTGGCTGCTCGAGACCTGCACCCTGGGCGATCTTCTCTGCAGTGCAACCGGCCGCAGTGGCCGACAGGACCTTCTTCACCTCGCTGGACAAACCATTCACCAGATCCGCCAAGTTCGGCATCTCGGTGTTCTCGGTGCCCTCGGCCGCGGCTGTATCGAGGAGGAGCAGCTTGGCGGCTGGATTCGCCTTCGCCGTCTTCTCCGCCGCGTCCATGACCGTGCGCAAGGTCTTTGCCGCCAGCTCGGCAGCCTCCTGCGTGTTCAGGAAAAACACCTTCTGTGACTTGGCGGCAGCACCAGCAGCTGCATAAACAGCGGCGGAGCCAACTTGTTCAGACGTGAGAGTCAAAGCCACCGAAGCTTCCAGAGCGGCTGTGACTGCCTTCTGGGTGAGAGCTGCTGGCGACTCTATTCTGGCGAATTGGAAGATCGCAGTCGCAGCTTTGGTGCCAACGACCACGGCGACTTGTTGCAAAGTCATTCCAGCCAGCTTCGCAGCCTTGCCTGCAAGCTTCGCAAGAGTTACGGCTTCTTGCAAGGCGTCCTTCTGCGAATGCTTCTTTTCTGCCGCAGTCTTGGCTGCTTTGCCAGCTTGGGCTAGAACATCCCCGGGAATTGCAAAGCTGACGGCTTCATCAACGGCAGCTTTGGATGCTTCACTTGCCTGCAACGATGTCAGGCCAGCAGCTTTCGCTGCATCCAATGCTATCTTTGCAGCTTCCTCTCTCTGCTTCTCTGGCTCAGTAGAAGAGTCCACCAAGGCAGCTGCTGCCACGGTGGCTGCGGCGGATCCTGCTCGGACATTGCCAATTTTTGCTTTCAGCCCAGCTTTCTGCGCATAAACAGCTGCTTGTGCAGAGAGCTCATGCCTCTTCGCACTGTCTCGTGCACTGTTGGCTGCTGCCATGCCAGCAGCCAATGCAGCGATTGACAGCTTCTCAGGGGTTGGATCCTCTTGGAACAATTGCTGCACGGCCGCATCCGCCGCGGAAGCTATCTCCTCCGTGCTCATGAAGCGAAGGTCGCCCGAGCGAACTGCTGCCTCTCCTGCTGCCTTGGCAATCGGTAGTGCCGCCTGAGTCGCTGTCAGACCGATCTTTGTTGCCGCGTGCAAGGTCGACTTCGCTGCCAGAGATGCGATTTGAACCACGGACTTCTTGGCTCCGGCATCGACCGCGGCAGTAGCCGCCTCGGCAGCTGCCACAGACAGAGTTTGTCTTGTGGTGAGCTTGGCACCCACGGCTTCTTTCGCAGCTTCCATTGACGTGTCGACCTGTTGGTCTGGATTGTTGTTCCCAAGTTTCACCATAGTCTCAGTTGCTGCATCAACTGCTGTGCTGATTACCTCTTTCGTCGTCTTGCCTTCAGCAACGGCTACTTTCACGGCGGCTTCTCCTGCCGCAATCGCACTTTTCTTTACGGCCACTTTGGAATCTGCTCCGGCATCTGTGGCAAACTGGAACACGGCCTTCGCCGCTGCTTGGGCTATTTCAGGGGTCCCGCCACCAGCTTCTCGGACTTCCTCAGCAGCTGCTGTGCCCACGGCGCTGCTGGCTGTATCTGCAACCAGATTCGAACTTACGCCTGCTTCTTGCAGGGCCTTCTCTGCGGCCTTCGCAGCACCTTCCTTCTTCTGTACCGTATCTTTGGAGCTCTGGGCATGCTTTGCGATCACCTGTCCGGCGGCTTCGGCAGCAGCTTGTGCGGCCAATGCGGCACTGAGCCCTGAATCCACCGCAGCCACAAAAGCAGCCTTGGCTGCAACAGCCGCTGCCTCCTCCACGCTCGCAGCTGTGACCAAGGCCTTCTTTGCAGCCGTTTCGGTGGCCGCCGCGGCCGAGCGAAGTTCTGCTTCTGTCTCCGAGAGTCCGGCAGCCTTGGCTGCTTTAAATGCAGCCGTGGCAGCGGCCGCTCCGATCACACGGGTGGAGCTGCCCCTGCTCTCTTCTTCCTCTGCTGCTGCTTCCGCTGCGACCTCGGCAGCTGCTGTGGCCGCCACGGCTTTTGGAAGCCCAGCAGCCTTTGCAGCTTCCAGGGCCGCCTTGGCAGGGGCATTCAAGGGCTTCTTCTCGCGTTGGAGTGGCCCCAGCTCCTGACGGATGGCATCACGGACAGCTGCCGCCGTCTCACGTACAATGTTCTTTGCAAGCTGCTTCAAGCTCGGGACTTCCTCTTTGGCTTTCAAACTCTTTGGCGCTTCGTTCGCCTCCTTCTCCTTCTCCTCTTCTTTTGCATCAGCAGCCTTCTCAGCCGGGACCGGTGCCGTCGTCTTCGCTTCTCTCACAGTCTTTGCTTTGGGCTTATCGTGTGTGGCCTTTGGCTTCGGGGGGGGCGAGGGCACGGAAAGCACCGGTCCCCCATCGGCCTGCTTGAGAAATTCGATGCGTGACAGGCGTCCGTCCGAGTTGGTATCCAGAAGGTGGAAAAGAGGAACAAGCTTGTCGGTGGTCTGCCAGTCTCGGGGGTAAAACTGTCGAGCGGAGAACATGAATTCGTCTTGTGAGATCCAGCCATCTCCATCTGCATCTGCTGCTTGAAATGCTGGATTGAGGCCAAGCATTTCCTTCGATCCCCTTGCTGCAATAACGAATTCAGTGCGCGAGATACTGCCATCTCCATCCTCATCCATGGCCTCAAATATATCGGCCAATGAAGCACGGCTCGCAGGACTGTTGCGGATGGCTCCGGCAATGAACTCTCGTCTGGAGAGGCTATCGTCAAAATTAGTATCCAGAGAATCGAAGGTCTGCTCAATGACCACAGCATCAGTGTCACCACGATCTCGCTGAGCTTCGAAATCCATATTCTTATGTAAGGCCTTGTGGATTGCTGCTGGCGGCGCGCCCGCCTTCTGCTTCTTCTTTGCAAAGACACGGCTTGCAAAAGGATACGCAGCATCTTCCAGCTGCAGCATGGCCACAGCTCCACCTGCAAGGGGCCCAAGCGACGGTCTAAACTGCTTGTGGGTTTGGCAACGGCACCTCGAAGCTTCCATGACTCAGCCACGCAGCTCAGAAGCAGGAGCAGCCATGATCTCATTCGGCACGGCCTCGCACGAGTAAGAGCAGAAAGCAGCGACATGAGTCAGAGCTACAGCATCCAGCAGTGGATGGACACACTTCGACTGTGCGACCAACGTTGAACTCCTGACTGGATCACATCGGATTTCTGTATTTCACGTCCCTGGACTTCGACTGACAGGAACCAGAAAGAACATCGGAAATCCAGCGATTGCTTTGCAGATTGACAGCTCCATGCAGGGTTGTCTCTGTGAATCCTGCTGCTGGCAAATCACTTCTTCGCCTTGTTGCTTTTTTAGTTCAAGCACGCCGCATCAAATGTGTGGCATGGCCACGAGGCACGCGGCATGCCTGGACCTTCCTGATCTTCGATAGCTCCTTGCCGGCCTCACCGTGTCCGAAAGGCACCCTGATATGGACCGACACCAGGAATGCTCTCTTGTGGCCAAGCGGCTGGGAACCGGCGCAGCGTGTGAAGCTGCACTACAATGTCGGAGATGCGCCCAACCTCAGACTCGGAACTGGATAAAGATAGCGACGCATCGCATGGAATTTGGGCGAGGCGTATCTGAGTGGAAAGCATGTGGAGGGCACAAGTGCTGGGCAGGGATGTCGCGGAACTATGATCCGCGACAGCCCGCTTTGAGCATCAAAGTTGAATCGCGGAAGATGCGAACTAACACTTCAACGATGCCATGTGTGTGGTGGTGTTGTCCGGAGGCGCTCCATTTCAAGGAGTTTTGCTGCTGTTTGTTTCTCAACTCACGCATTTGTCCAGTGCCCCCTCCCCTTGCACGCTCAGCTCTCACGCTCAAATCTGCAAACCGCATGCAGCAGAAGACAGTCTTGTCAACTCTCGCGGCTTCGCTCCAGGCTTCAACATGATTTAATTTTTAGGAACAGCCTGACCACGGTCTGAGCCGGAACTTTACCGAGCCCGTTTGGCTAGTGCGACGCGGAAGGCCTCACCCAAACAAGTGCCAGCCTGGACAGTGTGTCACAGGAACGAGGCTATTGAGCGGTACCTGACGGTTCAGTGCTGAGGCTCTCTGGCCTCCAAACATGCCGCACCGGACATCTGCAGGGTCAGATGCTCAAGTCTGCTCAGTGCTTTACTTTCAGCAGAGACCGCCCGGGTCCTGATCCAGCAAGGTCGCCTGAGACGTTGCGAACTATCTGTCAGAGCCACCCTTTAAATTGACTTACGTCTCCAGCGGACGACGTTCTCAAAATCCTGCAGGAGACTCCCACAGCCGAGGCGCCGTATCTCTGGTGAACTTCAACACCTAAGCTGCTCACAGCTCTCCAGACAGAGAGCTGTGAGGCAAATTAGACTCACGAAGAGGACGAAAAGAATTGTCACTCGATTCAGGACGTACTTTGAGGCTTGTCCGGTGTGTGGCAAGAGAGAGAACCACATCCAAACAGACAGGCGAAGCCAATATGCATGCTCGCGGCTGGGCAGCTCGAGACAACATAGTCCTTAGTCAAGCTTGCTCTTTGCGAATAGCTTAATTTGCCCATACGGGCGACTCGCACATGTTTGCTGCACCAAAGTCACTAACCATGCCGAATCCACTGGCCCTCGCCACTTGCGTAAGGCCGCCTAGCCACCACTTGAACGTGCATGGCTCCATGAAGCTCTGAAAAATTAATTACTAAATCGCTGGCTCATATCTGACCTGCCATTCTGAGGAACCACCCCGCTCAAGGACAAACAAGAGTTGTTCTTGCGTATTTCCAGTGTGCGAAGGGGGTCGAATCTCACCGCTGGTCCACGTCCGCTCGACAAGTCTCTAAACAATGGGGGCGAAAGCCCTGTGCCGAATCAAAGACGAACCGTCAGCATGTCATTGTGCCCGAGGTGCCGCCCCCCCTAGCAGGTGACATCTCGGGTTTGAAGTTCAGCTCCAATTGAACAACACCCGAATTCACACGAGAGCTCTGGTTCCTCAGAGAGGCATCGCAAGAAGCAACACAATGGAAGAAGACAGGTCCCCTTGCTACCCTACTGCTGCGAACAAGAATTCGTGCCTGTGGATCCCACTTGACGTCGGGCTCCTCCATGTGCCAGAAGGCCGTGTCATCTGCGCGGATCAAGACCATTTCCTCTTCCCAGATACGACGAAACTCGGGGTATTGATCCTGAGATGCGAAATGCTGGCTGTGCGCACTTTTCATCATTCTGAGAGCAGCAAAGGGAGGATCATCAATGTGAGAGCAGCAGAAGGGAGCAATGCAAACACAGATCACAGTCAAACTGCTGGAAAGCCTTCGCTCTCAAGTTCGGGCGCAACTTAGCCTGCCGGAGCAGGGACCTGCTGACCTAATTTTCATGCCGGGCCTATATCCACAGTCGTGGCCGCCGTGCAGCCCAGCATCAATGAGCTTTTTAAACGCTGCGTGCATGAGGAGATAATTGCGGAGATCCTGCCCGAATCGCTTCAAGTGGTCCAGGTCGACACCCTGGAAGAGAGGATGATCCGGGACCCCTGGCGGATCGAGGAACATGGACATGGCGTCAGCCCTGGCAGGGATGGAATTGGGGTATAGTGGTAGTTCACCAGCCCAGTCTAGCCGGGTCGAACTCCGATCTGCAAAGCGATCTCTCCTTTCTCACACGCGCTCCTTACTGTACATCTCTAAGGGGAACCCAATGAACACAAACCTCTTGGCGCTAGGCCAGATGTGATAAGGGCTTTTAGGGTTAAACGTGCGCCCTTGGTAAGAAATCGCGAGCTAAGGCTGTGTTCTCTCACAAACGTAGCTCGACTTTGCCGAATGTGCATCATCATCATCATCATGCAGGCATTAAGTCTACTGGCACTGACTGGCTACTTATTCCTGTACGACCAGTTCGAGAATGACAGTCACACATCGAAGCGACAGGCTTCAACACTAACACCCGGTCAGCCCGGACACTTCCCAACAACAACAGCAAACAGTAAGACTGTATCATGACATGCTGGTGTTCTCATTCCGCACCAGCCTTGTCTTGCTGTCCCAGTATCCTGGACAGGCAGCGGCTTTGTGCATCGGACGGAAGGAAAACAGCAGCTTTTCAAAACAATCGACCCTTCACTCTGAAACCACAAATGCACGAACATATCGCGGACCTGCCAAGAGATGCCATCTTGGCCCTATAACTATGCAAGTAAGTCTCCGTTGAACAAGGCCTTCCAGGCCACCATCATCGGATGCTGGCGACGGGCGGCCATCACCCAGTTCTCCACGAACTCCTGGCGATTGTGGAGGCCTGCTTGCGTCTCCCAGTCCTGTGCTGTAGTGGGGTCCTTGCTCTTGTGCATCTCGCACCCCCAAGCTGAGAAATAGAAGGCCTTGGAAAATGCTTAGATGGATTCCTGGACCGGGCAGGAAAGTCATGCTTGCTCCTTTACTTTCATCCGCCAAGCTGCACCAATGCCCTCGGCAGCCTTTTCTGAAGCGATGGTGCTGTACATCCATTCATCGAAAGGCCGCAAACAGATCGTGGAGGCATCAATCCACAAGCCGCCGTACTTGGCCAAGAGTGCCAGCCTGCCACGGCTCGGCAGCGAGGCGCTTCAACGTGTCTGCACTTCGGAGGGGAAGACACAAGCTGGCCGGGGCCTCACCGCATCGGCCTGCCAGGGGACGTACATCTCCGGCCAGAGTCTCGGGAGCTCGTTTGGGTCCAAATACTCATGGACATTCCTTTGATCCAGCATCTTAATCCTCGCACTGCTGTCACCAATCAGATTCGATCTGAACATCAAGTCTGGCAAAGGCCCGAGTCCTCCAACCCGGATTCTGTGTGGCCCAGGTTTCCATGCACAAGCGTCTGAATTCTGGCAAATTGTCCTGGGCCGCTTGGATTTTTTGTGTTTTACCCTCAGAGTTCGAAGAACCTCGTGTACGACCTGGTTTCAAACACGAGCAAGTGTCCTTCCCTTTATCCCAGAAAGACCAAGCGATGCGTGGTGCTTCGCTGACCTCCTCGCCAAGGCTGCCCAAACACCGCCGGCACCGCCCACCCCTGTCAGATCTGTCAGCGTGCCAGAGCCGCCCATGCCCAGGCGGTGGGTGGCTCACAAGACTCCGCACGCGCGAGACGAAGGCACCGTCTTGTGAGAAGGCGAAGAGGACACCCAGAGCTGCAGTCTGGCATCCCACTCGGCGGCTTCGCAACATGCAGGCCAAATCCCATTGCGGTGTCGTATCGGTTGCATGAACTCCCTGCGTCTGCATGTGGCAGATTGTGGCAGCATATCTTTGCAATAGCGGGCCAAATGGTGGAATGGCGCAACTTGCTTGAGGATCTGCTCATAAAAGGCTGGCAGAGGAGGACTCCCGTGAATCCAAGACCACCTGCGACGTGATGTGACGCGGGCCCCTTTTTCCCATCGCGTGTTTCGCCATCCAAGGCAGCACGTGACCGCGGAGCATCCTCCCAATAACATGTGCAAGACTCAGCAAGGCTGTAAAACGCCCAGGACGGCGGCACAAGCTTCACTTGCATGCCTGGTGAGCTTGCAAGCTAACACTATCGGTACCCTGCCAAGAACAACTGTTGGACTCCACCAGACGAGCGGGATGTGGCGATGTGACCAGTTTCTACCAGGCGCCAAGAGTCCCTTTGGGACGGCAAGGCGACTTGGTGTCGACTGCATGTCAGGCTGCCAGGATTTATCACCAGCGGCGAGCCTGAAGCCCTGGGCCTCGTCAGTGCCGCCTTCCCAAAAAAGCGCATATCCTAAAATTGAAGTACATTCGTGTTTTCTACCGGACTCACGCATCGAGGCGCTCTTGGATACTTCCAGGCAGCATTTTCAGAACGCCGGGCTCCTGAACAGTAGCCGCAGAGAGGCGATGGAAGGGTGTCACACAGCGCGCATGCGTCCTCCGAGACAAAGAACGGACTGCTGTGATCTGCCTTATAAACTTATAACCATAGCCAACTAAGCCCCGCACTCTTGACAACTGTGCATGGAAAAAACTGCCAAGATAGCAAGTTGGCCGGGCTCTCAATCTCAGGACGGCACCCGAGATTTCGGAACAGGCACGCCGCGGGAGTCTCCCACCTTTGAAGTGATGGGTCGAAGCATACTCACAGAGGTGGTGAAACAGGGAGGGTGAAGAGGGAGGGGAGGGGAGGGAGGGGTCTCGAAATCTGATGGCAACTTGCGCTCATGAAGTCGGATGACCAAGCTGCAGGCTGCCGCGTGCAATTGCGAAACAGACATCGCCGCACCAGACGAGGATGCCGCGGACCTGCGCAAGAAATCTTGAGAATGCTGGCCGGAGGCTCCGAAACGAACAAAGTTGATGTTCTCACCACATCCCTAGAATCCCATCTGCGCCTGTTTGAAGGTGCAGCCTCGGAACATGGGAGCGTCACACTACAGTTTTGAGGTTTTCGTTGTGTTTGCCGCATCGGTCCGGGAAAGCGATTTAAAGCCTGGGTCCGTGGCGAGGCGGCTCCGGAAGTGTGCCTGCAGAACATGTGTTTTCGCATCGCAGGTGCCGCCTCGGAGAAGCATGACTTTTTTCGTCTGAGGCCGGCACTTCGTCAGACCTGACTGCATGTTGTTGCTTGTCTTCTTGGGGAAGCTTACGCCATGCCATGCTTCGAACAAGGGCCATCTTCGACCGAGTGTCGGTGGGGCGCCGAAGCTCTCCAAGCCGCCGCCCCCCTGGGGGGTGACGATTGCAGGATCCGATCGCAAAGGCTGCTTGCCCCGATTGCTTCTGTTGACAGGTGCAAGTCTTCCGCTGAACCATAGCGGCTATATGGTCTGAGCCCTTTGCCAGTGCGTAAGAACTGTCCGGGCTCCTTGGCGAGTAGCTTGCGCAAGACATGCTAGTCTGCACCGATGTGCGCAGCCCTGTCCGATCATCGTTTTACCGTCTTGCTGCCCGGCCACAGGACGCCGCTTCCCTGCACCTGCCAACATTTGAGCGAACGGTCGAAAGCTGCTCTTTCGTTTGACTGAGACTGGGTATCCAGCCCGAACGAAGCCTGGCATTGGCACAGAGAAGAGTGCTACACAGCTTGTGATTTGCCGAATGGCCTAACGGACCATCTCGGATCATATGCCACATGCCAATACATAAATTAAAGTCTGCACATGTTGCTCTGCTACGGAGCTGCTCAGACGGCAAAGCATCTTGCTTTCGGAACCAGCCTGAATCAATCAGCCGTCTGCTGCCACCCCGGTAGGCCTGCCGCAACGGCTGACAACTTACATGCTCTTTCAAGCACCGTGGTGGAATCAGTGGGCCCAGGCAGAGACTCGGACCCCAACATACTGCTGACCCACGATCTTGCATCATAGAGTGGTAAGCAACACTTCGCGAAATTCAACGCCAATTGTGACGTGGTAATCACACCTGTCGCATGCATGCGCTCTGGAGCTATGGTCCATTTTCCCTTCATGTTCATTCGCATCCCGGCCTGCATCAAACAGTTTGTAACCTGCACAGGACATGACGTGCCATTCAGGCTGCATGTCACATGGAGCGTACATCAGTCTACCACGAGGCGCGGACGCTCATGCGGATGAACTCTTCAGACTCCCCAGCGAGTCCCAGCCTCAGGCGTCCAGAGTGCTTGACTGTCACAAGGAGCACCGCAACACACCAAGGGCCTAATTATCACGGGAGCTTCAAGCAACTGACCAATATGAGTAGCTCTGCAGGGACTGGCTCGGCAACTGTACACTGCCGAGCGGTGAAACGCCGCTCCGGCGCCTCCGGCTGACCCAAAATTCTCTCAACCTACCCCTTCTGAAGTGTGCAAGGAGGTCCGGAGAAAGCTGGCATTGCAGCTGCAGGCCATGCGATTTATTTCGGGCACAGCGGCCCAGGTCGAACCCAGGCTACGAAGAGCACAAAGCGCTTCGCTTAAGCTTCGGCACAAGGGCCACAAGGCTGCAATGGGGCGACATCCGCTGTTCACCGCTGTTCACGTATGCAGAGCGCCACCCATGCCTAAGTCAGATCTTGCTATTGGAGCACTCTTACAGGTCTGTCTCGCGGCAAGGGCAGTGCAGACCAGGCACAGCTGTGGTGCCCAAACCGGCCAAGTAGCCAAGCCACCTATCCAAAGAAGCTAACGAGAACCAAGGATAACGAAGGAAGAGGTGCTCTTTGTCCTGAATCCCGGCCTGGAAGGGCGCACCTTGCTTGGGATTTCCGCTTCTGGCATCTGCTTCTGCGCCCGTTCTGGAAAGGGGTCACCTCGGGTAGCTCTTAGCCTTCGCGGTTCGAGCAGAGTCAAACTGGGCCTCTTAGCGCCGAAGTGGAGGTCGCGGAAGTCGCGGCTGTTCGCTCCTGCGACAAACTGCGAGAGATATCGCGAGAGCAGAGGTGAGTGGTTAGCCGTTTAGCCTCAGCCTCGATGCCAACGGCTTTATGACATGTCAACTGTCTTGGCTAAAAACAGCCGTCAACGGTTCCCACCATCGTCGGCAATGCAATGCAGCGGATGGTGGGACAAGGTGAGGAAACTAACTGTCCTTCCAGAAACAATCCTTCTGGTGGGCGGTCGGTTCGTTGCCGGCTACTCTTTGCAAGGCTTGTCAAGTTTCGCTCACACCCTGACCTGTCTGGTGGTCTCTGCCGGGACAGTGCTGGCAAATATCGTCGTAGTGGTAGTTGTCTCGCCTGTGTCACCATCTGAGGAAAATCTCCATAATGCATACTCAACAGTCTCCGAGTGCCAGGCAGTTCTCGGGACACACGATCCGCACGAAGGTGCCATGAGGCAAGAGGTCCTCCTCCATCGAAAGATCATGTGCCTGGGCCGTTGAAGGCATGAGGTCAGCGGCACGACAAGAAGAAGCCTCTTCGAACGCTAGCAGATGCTGATTGCTAACTCATGCGAACTCACGATGAGCAAACCGCTCTCACCCAGCCGCCCAAAACGTCTCGAAGCCACTGTCCTACAGTACTGCCAAACAGCAGCTACTACGATCTGTGCTGCCATCACTGCCGCTATCGCTGTCGCTGCTGCCATGCTGTTGCTGCTCCTGCTCCTGCTCCTGCTCCGACTGCGACGGCTCCGGCTGCTGCTACACCTACTGCTACTGCTACCGATACGGCTGCTGCTGCTGCTACTACCTCCACCACCACCACAACCACCATCACGACGACGACTACCTACTAACTAACTACTAACTACTCACTACTACCGCCACCCTCTCTCTCTCTCTCTCTCTCTCGCGGACTCTGAGGTCTGTCAGCCGCGCGGCTACTGCCGCCACTACCACTGCCAATACCCCTACCTGCCACTGCCACTACCACGACCACCACCACCACCACCACCACCACCACCCCTACCCCTGCCCTGCCCCTACCACTGCCACCACACGACTGCTACGACCTCGACTACGACTACTGCTGCTGCTGCTGCTGCTGCTGCTGCTGCTGCTGCTGCTGCTGCTGCTACTGCTAGTGCTAGCCTGAGGCCCCTTCCCTCGCGTGAAAAAATTTCATGCTGCATTGGAAGCCCCGCCTGAACGCTCGCTTGCAAAACTTCTGCAAACAAGGTCTGGTTCTCTTTTCCCCCCAAGCGTAACAGGAGGGGGAGCCACCCCCCACCCCTGCGCTCCAGGCACGGGGGTCCTCTCTTTTCTTTCGCCAGGGCTAGGGGTAAGAGAGGCAAGCTCCCCTCTAATTGATGTCATGGAAAAGTCTCTGAGGCATGGGCGCAGCCTCCATCAAGCTTCATCAGAGATGGGCACATCTTTCGGTACCTGTCCTCAAAACCGGGGATGCGTTGCCGTCAAGACATGGCACATGACGAGGGTGAACTGCCTTAACAGCTTAAGCGTTTAACACATACGGCATGACATGCGGATGTCTCATGCGTTTACGAGGCAGTGTGCAGCGTTCGGTAAACGAACAAACTGTTCCGGAAGAGCAATCAGATTTACCTCGCATCCCATTCTCTCGCAACAGCATCAGCATCGGAGCTCTAGACATGGATGGGCCTCGTGCTCAGATCACTTCGCCCGTAGGCGCTGTGTGTGTGCTGCATACGCGGACAAACGAGGTACTAGTACGGCAACAACAACAACAACAACAACAACAGCAACAGCAGCATGAACAGCAACAGCAATCGCTACGACTGCGACTACTTCTACTACTACTACTACGACGACGACGACTACTACTACGACTACTGCGACTACTTCTACTACTACTACTACTACTACGACGACGACGACGACGACTACTACTACGACGACGACTGCTACGACGACGAC